GAACTTTCAGTTCAATGCATTCATTCATTGCATTACAGGTTAGGATGGCTTCAATTGGACCCACACTTAGCGTCGAGTGTTTGAACCAATTGTTTAACTCATAGACAGAATATTTTGGATGTGATTTCACTGCTATTCTCAATGAGATTTGAATGCGAGAAAAGACAGTGATTAAGATGTGATCGCCGGGAACTTTGTCTTCACATCCAATGCCTACTCCACAGTTAGGGTGACCACCAAAAATGCTCGTAAAAAAGGACAACTGACAAAAATATAGCTCTTAAAAAAGGACAAAAAAGGACACACAAAATTATTTAATGAGATTTGTATTAATTCGACATAAATGATTTAAAATTGTTTGTTATTATATTTTTGTGAAGATTTTTCAAATCGTAGTACTATCTTATCATTTTGAATATGCTCTTAAAATTTAATACAAGTATTTAATTGTAAACATCTTTAACAATCATAACAAAAAATATTTTTTAAGGCACTTTTATCTCAATGAAATTTCCAATAATTTTTAAGATATTAACCTTTTTATATCGAAATTAATAAAACTCAAAAAGGACAAAGTATAGTCCTTTCCGACTACTCGAAAGGACGCTGTTCTGAACGGTCAAAAAAAGGACAAAACCCATAAAAAAAGGACGTTCTGGTCACCCTATCCACAGTAGACCATATTATGCATATCGTAGACGTCATGCTCTCCAATGTTGTCATCTGAGACCCAATTTTGACAATCCTTTGGTGACTGGTGTTGAAGAGATGGGAACTCATAAGCAATGTCTTCCTCGTGATCGCATTGAACGCATAGACCCATGGCTTCCAACACTTGAAGTAAGTCGAGTGCATCCGTTTCGGGAAACTCGAGCTGAATATCATCGACAATAGATTCCTGTCGTACGACTCGCAGACATGTTGTCATCACATAACAGATGACCGATTATGTCGACTGTAAGCCAACGCCGACTTAAAACAATCAATTCCTGCACAACAACTGCAGTAATTCTCCCATAATTTGCAATTGTAGTCAAAGTTGTTATAATAATTAAACAATTTATTATTTTATTGAACTTAAAATTTATGGTTACATTAATTCATCCAAACGCTTAAATATAATGTGAGTTATAAAATACAACTTATGGTCTAATTAAATTAAAACATGATAACTAGAGAACAATTATGGCATCAATATTGCAAACAAATCAAATAAATGTAAAAATCGATAAATAGTGGTTCAGTTTTGGCCGCTAATTAAGAGTTAGTAAAATAGCTGTCAAATAAAATCTCAATTATGATTACAAATGTGGAGAAATACACAGAAAAATTATGCATTTAATTAATTGTATTTTTAATTTACTATATACTGTATAGTAGTAGTATAAGAGTAAATTAAATGTATAATTAACCTAACTCTAATTTAATGATAATCATTTAGTGTAGGTTAAAGAAGTTATAGAGTTTTGAAACAAATTCACATTTTGTTTGTTTAGTATTTTATAAGTGATATTTGGAGCCAATATGTGGTGACTCAAACAGCGGTGACTCAAACAGCTGTGACGAGACACGTCCGCCGAGAATTGGCCGAACTCTTGGCTGTTGTTGTCGTCGTTGCAGTTGTGGTCGTGTTTTGTGGCGAAGAATGTCTGATAACAGACATGTCGTTAATTATATTGTTATTTAAAACACAATTCTTATTGGTTTTAGATTTGATTGAAGACTTTGCTGAACATTTAGAGGAGAGATACGCAACGTTTCCATTGGTTTTATTATTTTGTTGGCTTTTGTGATGAGACAACAAATCGTGTTTTTCAATATAATTGTTATTAAACTTATCATTCGTTTGCTTTCTATTGTCCTTATGATTGATGTTTACATTTGAGGCCTCGTCCGGACTCTGCGGTAACTTCTCGTACGTCGAGCTCCGCACTAATGACCCGCCCTTTTGATCCACATTTTTCTTTGACTTTCCAAATGATCTGTAAATAAATCAAACATTTTGAGCCAAAATGCATACAAGACTGTAGTGTTGGGCAAACCTTCGGGCACTTATAGAGCGACTCAAATCCATTTTCTTCGACTTAGACTCAGTTGCGGTGCTTTTGCTGCGCTTCCAAAGCGATGCGATGCGTGACTGGACTTCCAGTCGTCGTGAGAACGACGCGCACGAAGGGGTCAAACCATTGGACGAGTTGGACGACAGACTCGCGTTACTCGCGCCCAAAGCGTGTGATGACAGCGACGCCGACAACTTGGAGCGCACAGAAGTGAGCAATGATTTGTTGTTATGCTCTCTATTCTTAGCTGAAGTGTCCGCACGTGGTTTCGCCCGTTTGTAATCAGTGAACGCAAAGTCCGCCTTATGTACCATATAATCAATATATTTGTTGCCATCATTTGAATACATGTGCCGATCGGTGACCTTATTATGAGAGATAATGGTATCTTCGCTGAGATGTGTTTCAACAGATCGGGATCGGGAGGCCCTCAGGGCTGAAGTGCGCGTCTGTTTAGCCGTGTATTTATTTTTAGCCAAAGAATAATTGAAAGGTATGACTGATTCAAACTTATCATTTGATGACTAAATAGTAAACAAAATGTTAATAAAACTCAATTAAATGATCACAAAAATAATTATAAATGCGCTATACTTTTGAGGCAACGGGTCTAACAATCCGTGCTCTTCGGGGAGAGTTTACGTTATAAGTGGCGGAATCGGCATCAGATCCGTCCGACACTACCGAATGCTCATCTGTTGCCAAACATTCCTCCGACCCGATCGGCGAGAATCGTCTCTTCGATAACATTAACTCCTTCTCTCTCCTCGATAGCCGTGTCTTGTCCTCAAACTCTGAGATAACATCTGAACAAATGGTCGGCGATTCCAATGATAAGAGTGTGGACGAAGAAGTGGTAAAATCCATGATAATATCATTTTGTGAGACACACTTTGGTCCCGCGTTATCCACGGGTATGTCTTCGGATATTTCAGTGTCTGATAAGTCGTATTCAAATTGAGTGGAAATTATTTTTGAATTTAAGGCGTTTTTATTGTGAAAAGTTGTCTCATTTGGATCGACATGTAAATTGTCTGCTGAATATGTCATTGAATTGATACGATTTGCGCACATTTTGGCCATTTCACTGATTTTACTATCATTTTTAGCTTCATTATCAAACGCCAGGTCCGGTATGTCTGATGTAATGCTGGCACAGCTTTGACTCATCGATATCTCATCCATAAGGGATGGCGGCTTCACGTTCTCCAACAGTATCTGACTTTCATCCGACCTCTTGTTCGCTGGTTTGGTTTGTGTGGGTTTAGGAGCCATTTGTCGGTAGGAAAACGATTCCGTACTCGAAAACATTGAGTTATCCATCAGTGATGGCGGCTTCTGGTGATCCAAATCTGACAAACAGCTCGAATCGGTCATCACCGACGACACCATAACACTGTCATTAGGTTTGCGATTTAGCTCTCCTTTGGCTAAACCATCGCTTTTGTAATACACAGTATAAGTGATGGCGTCGTCAACTGATTCCACCGAACGATTACTACTCGTCATTACATTATCTGTCGCTTTCTTGTGGTGTGATTTGCTTTTCGTAGTCTTTGTTGAGGTTTTCTTCTGATTCATACCTCTAGTGATGGCTTCGTTGAGTAGTTTTTGGTCCTCCATGTGATCGTCGGAATCAATGCTTAATGAACTTAACGATGACTGACAGTGAGAGAGCTGTACGGGTGTGTCCTCAACGAAATAGCGTCGACTTTGGTCGGCATTTATGTCCGATTTGTCATCTTTTTTATGGGTCATAGCGTTTAGGTTCTCACTGTTAGGCGACGCGTTTGGCGTCGATTTTGGCGTTTTTGGAGATCTTTTGTTAGCATTTTTGTCACATTTGTTACTCGTGTTAATTAGTTTACGACTTGCAGTCATTCCCGACTCAATACACTTTTGAAGTATCTCTTCGTCGTCGCTCTCATCCGATATATTATGGATCGGATTCATAGATGTATTACGAGATTTACCATTCGCTATAATAAATACATACAATTAATATTAATGTTACATAAAAAGTAGACGATTAAGTGATATGTACTTAAAATGGATATTTCACTCAGAGAACTGGTCTTCGATAAAACACATGGAGTATCTTCGGTGGCGTATACTTGAATGGTGTCCTTTCTATCATTATAAGCATGTGTTGTCAGTATTGGCAGTATTGGCAGTATTGGTGAAATGGGAGACACTTTCATTGCGTTCATATACGATGGTCTGCCGTCGGGCGCCGACCGCGTCATTGATTCACTTGAAGCTGTCGAACGTTGCTTAGGAATAGGTATCGATTTGACTGAACTCGAGTTAACTACAACTTCTTTGGGTTTAATTCTCTGAAGAGAATTACAAGAAATTGTCTTCTCATTAGATATACTCTTCATTCCTGCGAAACAATGAAATACATGTTAAAAACGACAATTGTTTTGAACTTAAAAAATGCTTAATAAAAGCTTAATACCTGATGAAATACATGCGGCCAATAATTGGTCTTCTCCCTCGTCTTCACTGGAAGTGTAAACAATTTGAGAGTCCATATCATTCATATCATTCACTTCAACAATTTGAGTCAATCCATCACTTTTGTAGCCATTATTATCGTTCAAATTGATAGCATCGATGTCTTCCGTTAATGAACTCAAACTCGTGCACAACGAGAAGATAGCGGGAGTGCCTTCAGTGGCGTAAGTAATGTGTCGGTCCTCAAAGAACACGCAGTTTTCGCTAACATTATCAGTAGGTTTGCAATCCATTTCATTTGAGTTACATTTGTTGTGTACAGCAGTGGTCTGTCTGTCTGTCTCTCGTTTGCCAGTTTGCCGATCGTGTAATCTTGGAGTCGGTTTGGGACTCAATGGTCGCGGACTGTCTAATGGACTGTCGGGCAAATCACTTGGAGTGACCACTTCCGACGCTCGACGACTATTCAACACAAACACAAGTTATTATTACATTATATCATAGGAAATGGCATTCAATGGTAACAAACCTGAATTCACTGACGACAGAGCTCTGACACACGTCTGACTTAATTTCACAGTCACTCAAAGAGTTGATAGAACTGCTCCGGGAATACATGAGTGGCGTCTCTTCGCAGATATTTTCATTGCTGACAATACTATTGGTAGAAATGGAAGCCTTCATTAAATTGTCGTCAAATACAACACTATTGTTGGCACTATTGTTGGGCTCTATTTTGTGGCTGTGATCGCACTCTTCGACACTTTCATCAATTGTTGGTTTCTTTGGCGAAATCGTGAATTTGGGTTTCGGCGGAAGAGTTGGCTTTTTAAACATGACTCTCGGTTTGTCAGAAGTTTTAATGTCACTATTGTTGCAATGCTTGTAGTGCTGTGCGATTGCATCAAATGTGGTGCTATTGTGCGCGTCATTGGCGGCTAATGAGGCGCACAAATCCTTTTTCTCTTCGGCAAAAGTGAGTCCAGTGTCGCGCAAATCGGATAGCGATGAGGCGAGACTGAAGTTGAGAGGCGTTCCCTCCGTTTTATACACCTTAACCGAGTCCTCACAAGCGGCCACTTCTGGTTTGTGGCTTGTGTTACAACGCGGGGCTATAAAGTCATCGATGGCTCGTTCTTTGTAGCGCTTGCTATAGTCGGTCGGTTCGGGATCACAATCCAGATCCACATCCAGTTCTGCGTCCGTAAACGACGAACTCTTGGCCGAATACAACGCGGGGCTATAAAGTCATCGATGGCTCGTTCTTTGTAGCGCTTGCTATAGTCGGTCGGTTCGGGATCACAATCCAGATCCACATCCAGTTCTGCGTCCGTAAACGACGAACTCTTGGCCGAGATATTCATTTGAGAATTAGATTCTCCGCAATAACTAACAAAGTATTCAATATATTTAAGTATATAACAAATTTGTGTATCAAAACAGTTTCATTACACATCAAAGTCGGCCCCGATATCCAAATCCTTATCACTTATTCTCGAGTCGTTGGATGAAAGCGTTGAATACATTTGTGGCATAAGTTGAGTAGAAAAGGGATAAATACTTCTCATATTGTGTTCCATATCTTTAAATTTGGTGACCGGTTCTGAATGAGTGGAACCGATACTATCGTGACTACTGGAACGGGAGACCTGATGTGGATTGATGTGTCCGCTCAAACTGGTATACATTCGGCCTATAAAAGCATACAAATTACTATTTGCATAACAATGCAACCAAATAATGGTAACGATGGACACAAAACCTGGTAAATACACATTTTTCAGTGTCGTAGTAGACTTGCATCGGACGTATGGCTCGTGAGATGGACTCACTTTAGGACTATCGATGGGATCGTATGTTTCAGAAAGATTGCAATTCATGTCATCCTTAAGTGCTTTAAGTTTGCGCGCCTCCAGTGATGGGATTGAACACGAATTGCTGCCATTCACACACCCATAGCTATCATTGCCTATTCATTACCAAATCAGTATCAATTGTACACATTGTAACCGTACATCAATTATACAAAAGCATACCATTCATTGACCTATAATTGGGTGCAACGGATGAGCTAAAGAGGTTCTTAAGAGTAGCCGACGATCCCATAGCTATCATCTTATGTCTAGAAGTGGTCAAATTCCTGAGCATCGGAACGGCTCCCAACTCCCAGAGTGTTGACTGATCTTTAGGACAGTGCGCCGACAAATTCCATAGAGTGACGCACGCATTGCTCACCACTGGAATCGATGGTGACTTTAATTGTTCCAGAAGTATAGCCAATGTGTTGTGCTTACGAAGTACTTGACGGTACTCTTCGTTCATCACTATATACGAGGATATATTGCGAAGAATTCCGCCACCATTTTCCACAATTGTCATCGAATTGGTTGACGAGTTAGGAGTGAGGGTTGAGATGAGGAAAGGAAGGGCGCCCTTCACGCCACAGAAGTCCGCTTTATTGGGTCCGCAATGAGCCGTCAAATTCCAAAGCGCCGACAGTATTGACTTAAGTGTTGACTCTTTGGTCGCTTCGAGACCCGCCTATCGACAAATCATTATAAGTTAGCGTTAATACAGGGATTGTATTATCACAAGTGTTGCACATACCTGAGTGAGTAGCGCAACGGTTCCCACTTCACGTAATATCTGTTTTGTTATGTAATCCGCTTTCCACGAGAGGTTTCGCAACAGACTGGCCGCCACTTGTCTCAACTCTTCGGCCGGTGATTCCAGATTGTGAACCAACGCTCGCATGAATGACTTCATTGTGGCCAACAGTGACTTTGTCTGTGAGTCACCGAATGTCAGATTAATCAAAGTCATCAAAGAGTAGCGCCTCAGAGCGATGCAGCCGTTGTTGCGGGCATTCTTGTGGTACTCGTAGTCGTATTGGATCACCTCTGCGATGGCGTACACACCGCCCAACAGAGTGATGATGTGTCTGTGCTGCTCATCGAACGACACTTTCAACAGATACGCTACGGAACCGTTCGGGTGATCCGTCAGCTCTTCATTCGCTGTTTGCTGACCATTGAGTCGCAAATAGTTGACAAACGATCGCAAGTCGTCAATGAGTTTGAGAACCCGAATCTCGCGCCGACTTTTGGCCGAATTATAAATGATATTCTTCAACGTCTTCGACGCTCTGTCCCGCAGTTGGCGCTCATCGGCCAACCGCTGACTCGCGTCTTCACCATTGGCTGCGCTGTTGTCCGCATCGATCGGCTGATGGATCAGTTGTATGAGTAGCGGAAGACACCCGTGTTGTCTCATCTCTTGACATATCTGCGGCGAGTGAGACATGAGTAGCAGTTTAGAGGACATCTCTTGAGCCGACGACAAGCGTAACATTTCCAGCAATGAATACACCATTTCCACAATCTTTGGCCCGTTTTGGCCGCCATTCTTCTCACCATTCATTGAATTCATGGCAACACTTGACTCAACACAACACTCTTCAGCTCAATACAGCTCACATGCCATTAGATCCGAGTTAAGACAATTCATTCATCAATGCCTCTCACGGTTACCACTTGTGCATCATTTCAATCATTCCAACACATGTTCAACACATGTGTCCATCAAATGTCAAAATCACAATCACTTGAAAACCAATGTATGAATCGATTGCAACCAAAACTCAATTCATTATCAATTCATTTAAAATTGTGTTTTCTTTTGATTCATAAAAATCAATAAAAGTATTGTTTCCAAAATGTTTGCCAAACAAGCGATGCATTCATATATAACGTACACATATTGTGTTGAAGCCATACAACAACTGTTGCCCACAAAAGCCAATCAAATGAATGAACTCTCACTTCATATGACAACACAAATGTGTTTTGCTTTTATATTTAGAACACTGTTAACACATGTCACACAAATCGGACATTCAAATTGTGTGAGGGATGAATTAACGAGTTGTTCTTCACACAATTTTCAAATTATGTGAATCTGAACGCATAGTTGTAATTTACAGTAAATAATTGGATACGTTATTTGTGGATATGGCATATTCAGTGAAAGGCAACACACAAATCTGTATCATCAGTACATTAAAAGTGTGATCCCTTGCACAATTTAGCAATGTCCGATTTGTGT